GCACTGAGCTGTCCACTTTAAAGGGTAAGTTTTATGGTTTGCAAATTACAAGTCAAAGAAGTTGCCTAAAACAAAAGTCAGGAGGGAAGAGCTGGGGTGGCAGCAGAGAAAGAAAAGAAACCACTGCTGTCCCTCCATGTGAGGGGACGTAACTGCTGGGCAAAGTGTGCCCAAGAACCAAATGCTTCCAGAATTACTTAGCAGAGAAGAGGTATAATAATTTTGCACATACTATAACCTGTCCATGCCTTCTGATGCATCAAGCGACATTACTCAAAATGAGTAACAGTATCCAGGACACTGACATTTCTAAAAGCCACTAAAGAAAGTTCCCTGGTTGGGGGATAAAGAAAATCTAACTGATACGAGTGGCAACTGATGTAGGTGCTAGGAGTCGAACTTGGGTCTCCTGGAAGATCGGTAAGTGATCTTAACTACTGAACCATCTCTCCAGTTCCAATGCTCAGGTCTTAGGAATTATTCCCTCCAGCTATCTAATACCAGTCTTTAAATTTGCCTTGTGTGTAACAACATAATAAGCTCCCAGTCAGAACACTCACATGTAAGAATATTTGTTGAAGTTACAAAAGTTGGCAATTGTACTGCATTAGCTGCTAAAACATCCAAGGAAAGCTCAGTACATCCTTAGAACACACACACAAAACTATGAGACCTCCCAGTTATAGAAAAGCTTCATTGAAAAAAAAATAACTCAACAAAAATCTGAATTTTAAAAATGACAAATTACTTTTTAAAATATCCTTCAAATTGAATTGAATGTGGGAAAGCTTAGCCTACAAAATACCTCACTTTGCATTCCTAGCCAGGTAACCTTCTAATCACCTTTCTGTGTGTCTAACCTACGAAGATCTAAGAGTGTATGCACAAGCAGAGGAGTGTAATGGAGACTGTGTCAAGTATCTGCATAAATTTAGTTAAAAAGAGAAACAGCTTCTGATGAATGCAATGACATTCACTTAAATCAAAGCCAAGAGGGTTACACTGTATTTATACCAATGCTGGATACATAATGAGTTCTTCTTTATTGCTTCTAAAATTAACCCCAGAAATCAACAAGGCTATCTTGAGATCTTTGTAAGTTTAATTTTGAAACAGCTGAATATTTTTAATGACTCTAAGCCAGAAGAAAAATCAGTGTCTTCTGCCTAAAGGTTTTCTGGTCATTTGATCAAAAAAAAAACCCAATTCTATATTGTCTTAATTGATTTTTTTTCCTTTTTGGGTAGGGTTGGATGCTAAAGAAATGAGAGAATAGCAGTAAATATCTAAGAAGAACAAAATAAATATAAATAATGGGGAAATCATTCTCTATTTTTTAATATTGAAATGAATGGGTCCTCAATATTTTTTTAATTTTTAACCAAATTTAGATTTTCATTTTGAGATAAACAATGACATTACAACAAATTCACAAAAACACATGTAACCATTTAACATCCTTGGCAATAAAATAGAGCCCAACACTTAGCAGGTAGTTAATCAACCATGCTAGAGCTAAGTGTCCATCACCTAAAGTTCCACAAGCAAACTGTATAACCAACAGTATGTGGACTTTGTATCTAATCCTTATTCATATGAGGTCTCCTCCTCCAGCTCTATCATGTGACAGTTTCCATCTTACTTTAGATGTGCTATTATAACCCACTTTTTCTTCTCTGACCTGCCACTCCCCTTACACCTTTGTTCTACTTGCCTATTAGCTTCCTACAAGTTATATGGTATAAACTTATATTTATCAACAAATAAATATTTGCTTCTTAAGGAAATTTAATGAGAAGAGGCACTTGCAAATATATGGAAATTAGAATTCACACAGATAGTTATACTTCCAAATATGTATCTTGTTTTGTTTTTAATTCTAGCTAAAAATCACAGCAAAGTCAAAAGTTTATCTCAGAAGTTGGCACATATGGAAAGAGAGAATGTGGATACAGTTTCACTGTAAAACTATACAGTAATCTGGGATATCCTGAGTGAGCCAATTGCCCATGGTGAGGAACAGCTACAGAAGTTCCTGTTTGTCTGGACTTTGGAAACATTCAAAACTATACTTTTATTGAAAATGTGCATTTTATATCATTGCTATCATTTACAAAAGGCCTTATTGTACCCCTAACTTGGAGCAGGGGTCTTATTTGGGATATAACATGTTTCTTTTATTCTTTATATATTCAAATGGTACCACTAGCAAGAGTAATAACAAGAAGAATGGTCTCACAAGTCCTGCACAAGATCAAGCCAGCCAACATACTAGAATGGATGGGGAGGGGCTGGTGAAGTCCCACACCCTAGCTGAGATGCTATTGGCAACTGATGGCTGCTAGAGGAGGCAGACTAAGTTTTCTTCAGGAATATGATCCCTCAAAGGCTACCAATGTTCCAGGAGACAGTCTGAAACCCATGTACATACAGACAGCACTCAGTTTCTGTTCCTGTTACTTATGCCTTTAGAGTTATATTCACCATCTGACTGTGTTTGCTAGAGATTATACTCCATTCAGTGGCATACAACGTTCCCCTGTAGCTCATTCATTAATTGAATTCTTCTATAGTACCTTCTGATCCATGCATTCCCATAACTGGCTCTTTATACCTCCTGCTATAAATAGGAGTTTCTGTGGTTGTTGTTTTTAAAGAATAGCACATGAAGTTGGGAGGGGAAAGTGGTGCAGGCAATATGGAGGTATTATGGATGAGAGCATGGGGGTGGGAGGGTTGGTCAACACACATTATATAGATGTATGGCATTCCTGAAGAAGTGGGGAGGCCATGGAAGTGGGGTTCAGCATTGAAGACCTTGTGTCTCCAAAAGAGGATGGGTGGTTGGTAAGAGAAACTGGGGGCAGAGAGGGGAGGGGAAGAGTCTTAGATTCCACCATCACAACCTTGGCTCAGGATAAGTCACAGCGAGCTACTGCTACTCTGGAGAAGATGACCTATCCCAGAAGGTGATTTAAACAGAACAAACACCGAAAACCATGCTTAGAAAGAAATAGGCCTTATGGCTCTCCTCTGTTCTACAGTCTGAAGACTAAAGTTCAAACATATTTGATGCACTAACTCTAAGTGCATCACTACTATTTACAGCAGGAGGTATAGAGCCAGTTATGGGAATGCATGGATCAAAAGGTATTATAGAAGAATTCAATTAAGGAAATAGCTAAAGGGGAACTTTGTATACTACTTAATGGAGTATAATCTAACAAACATGGTCAGATGGTGAATATAACTCTAAAGTCATAAAGATAAACAAACCATTATTTTAAAAGGTACAGGGTAGTGAGGAGTGGCTGGAATTGCTTAATAAAAGCTATTACTTACTAACACTGGGATGTTTCAAGCTTAACAGCAAAAATCAAAGGTTCTTGCTATACTATGGTTTCAATGAGCAACTGACCAACAAAAACGTAAAAAGGTATCCCTGCAGGTGAGAGCTTTCACACCAAATTCACAGAACTGTTTTCTTGTTATTTATTTATTTTTCAATTGTATAGGTATGGACTTGCCTACATGTGTTTCTATGCACCATATGCATGCAGTCTGTGAAGGCCAATAGAGGGGGTCAGATCCCCTGGACCTAGAGTTATATATTGATACAAACCTCCATGTGTATGCTGGGAACTATACTTAGATCCTCTGAAGAGCAGCCAGTGTCTTAAGCATTGAGGCATCTTTCAATCCTTAACTACATACTTTAGAAGCAGCAATGGATAGCTAACCACAGTGCAGTTTGAAGTCCCATTGGTTTCCATTATAAAACCCCTAGGTAAGCCTTCCCACTTGTAAGCACTAAAGGACAAGCTGGCCAGTCAAGTAATTATGAGTCCTCAGAGGTATAGGAACTCCTGCCTTACTTAAGATTTGGTTTCACAGGAACTTATGTTCAGCTTCTTTTATATGGTAGTTCCAATTCAATTCAGTGAATTGGAACCTTGGCCAAGTCGCTACTAGCTTCTGTAAAAACTTAACACAGAATAATATCCAAGCATTTCTTAATGCCTGAGGATGCTAAGAAATTCACAACATTTGATCTCCAGGATACTTTCCGGGTAATATTATAAGTAAATTCATTGAATACAATATCACCTTTACCATAGGGGCATTCATTAGTCATCTGTATTATTTGGACTCACAGTGGCATTGAAAATAAAATCAGAGTTTGAACTACTTAACATGACCCAGTACATTAAAGCTGGTTAAATTGGGTAAGTATTAGATTTTCTTTCTTTCATTAAAGACAGGTCTCACTACATAGCTCTGGATGACCTGGAATTTGCTACCTAGACAAGACTGGTCTTGAATGCACATAGACCAACCTACATTTGCATCCCTAGAGTACTGGGATTAAAGTCATATACACCTATCAGATACTAGATTTTATAAGTGTGTAACATATACAAGGCTGGAGTTCCAACCCCAACACTGAAATGACAATAGCAACAACATTAATAACTTACTTATTTTAAAAAAAAAAGACAATGTCACACTTTTTGCTGACCCATAATGACACTTTCTTCTTGCCAGATAAATTACCTCCCATCTTAGTAAAAATGATTTTTTTCTTATGACATGTGTTGTTTGTGAAAAATAATGATATTTAGAAACACAGGAAATAGAAAATATTAATCTGTGGGGCCATGATTAGAACTGAACTCCAAGATGGCACTATCACTTGACAGGAAAGTGGTGCCTAAAGTGGCACCAAACTTCCAGGTAAGCCATGACTGCAGTCACTTGAAATCACTCAGTTTATATCACAGTGCCTTACACTTGCTTCAAGGAGATTCAAACCCATCACTTGGGAAGCATAAGACCACACAGTTTTACAGACTAAAAGCATAATGAACAAGCTATATTATATCGATGCTTAATCTAGCTGGAAGTACACATACATTCATCAGCTAAAGAGCTCCTATGACCATAAAGACCTACAACCAGGAAAAAGTGAAGAGATATCTGCGAAAAGGCACAGCACTTACCTTTTCTGGCAGGTGAAGAATGGTGTGGTCTCCTGCACTAAAGTGAGACAGAGATTTATATGCAGCACTTGCTACAATGGGATCCTGAATGAGACAGGAAAGCAACACACATCAAACAGCAGACTGAAAGGAAGCAAGACAGTCTTCCCTCCCAAATGTCAGGTTGCTACAACCAGTGTCTGAGGAATGCTACTTAGGCCAAAAGAAAATTACCAGAGACTTGAAAAGAGAAATCAAGTTTTTCAATTCAAAGAAATACCGTTTTAAAAAAAAATTGGGGGAGGGGACAAACAAACAAAAAACAACCATCATTAAGACTGAAGTAAGAATGACTGAGGAAAATTACCATCATCGAGCATTCTTCTGGAGAATCTGCCCCAAATAGTAACAGAAAATAAACTAGGCTGGTGGGCTCAGAAACAATACATTTTTATCCTAACTTAGACCTTAAAAATTACCTAATTACTCAGTCCCTCTGAATTAGTATGGTTTAGTAGGACTGCAAGGGTCAACTATGACATCTCCAGCCCTCTGTACTCTTCAAGCCACTCAAAGACTTGGGAGCTGGCTTGTGCCTTCAGAAAACATGACTTCTGAGTTGATCCCAAGAACCTACAAGTGCTCACGCATGCACAAACACACACACCACCCTAGTATGGTGGCATAGGCAGTTTCCTGAGTCTCACTGCACAGCCAGTCTACACTATTTAGTGCACTCATTGCCACTAAGGGACCTTGTTTCAAAATAAATATGACTGAGGAATGACATCTGAAGTTGTCCTATGGCCTCCACATACATCAAACATACATGTACCCACAAAAACACATATATGCACACAAAAAGACACAAACTGTACTATACTACACCTTTTATTTGGTACATTACTTGGAAAGGCCAGAGAAGAAAAAGAAAAGAATCATATAAAAATAAGGAATAATGTCAACAACCTTCACATATGTCATTGAGAGTAGATGACAACAATTTTTAAATCTAAACTTACTAATAGTCACTTTAAAAAAAAATCAAGACTTCAGTTCAAGAAAACTATATTGTTTATCTTAAGTCTAATTTCAGAGCTCTTTCTCCAGTTCTGAGACACAGATATTCTTATGAAAATACCTTGTTTTGAGTGTGAGTCCAGAGGAAGCTGAGGACTTGGACCTTAAAATTCTGGAAAATCAGAAAACACAAAGGAAAAAAATAATTAAGGAAAGGTCCAACTTGAAATGAAGAATCTTACATAGCAAATAGTAGAATTTAAGCTACTTTTTTAAGTCACAGCATCATTAACTGACTCAAGCCAAGAAAAACCATTCAAATTAGCCATCCAAACACATGTATAATTAGTTATACACTGAAATGCTGAGATGACATGATCTAGAAAGCTGACCGCTGTCTCTGACAAATGTCACTCGTTCATGACACTAGTGTTAGTCCCCTGCCCAGAAGTTCACCTTCCCCTAACCTGCAGGGCAGGTGCTTGGTAGCATGTGGTGTGATTAATTCCCTGCTAGGTGTACATGTCATACAGTAGTCACTGTTTTCTTTTTATTTCAAAGATATCAAACACAGATCCTAGACCTATCCCTTCAAATGAAAATTATTTAATGAATAATTAGTCAAGCACAGAACTGCTTGCATGCTGGTACTTAGTCTTCTGTGTGTCAGCCAGGGTGAAGGTTAGTGCTCAACCCTCCAAATCATATTCAGTTCTTCTTTACTCATTGGCTTTACCAAGTCCACGCCCCAGAAGTCAACGGGAAGCAACGTTACACATCTTCAACGTGAAAGCCTGAGGACATCAATTAAATCACCATTCCTAACAAGGTTAGTTGCTACCTCCACCACACCCATTTGCCAGTCTTTGAACTTTGGAAGCCAAAGATGTGGACCACAGAGTACAACTAGATATCCCTAGTAGAGGGTTATCTAGCTAAGTAGTCCTGAATTTAGGCATCAACTTTTATTTCGTTAAGCTACTTGCCTGGCATATTTCAGACACTCAATAAATGGTGATTTCTTAAGTGGATATGACTCAAAACCTCAGTACCTCAATTTTAGTAAGAATTTGAAATAGCATCTATCATTATTTATCAGTACCATTAAAACCTAATATGGTTTGAATAAATGTATTCTGAGTCAATGAATAAATATACCATAACTTATGGAAGGCAATTTTAAAAGCACATTCCAATTTAATCATGAACTCTATGATTCACTGTTTATAGCCTAATGGGGAAAAATATTTATCTTTATAGTATAAAATAGAAGTCATGTTCATAGAACCATACAAAGAAGTTTGAGAACAGCAGCTCCTGTTAGAGAAAAATTCTTGAAGGATAGAGTGAGATAAAGCATTTCTTTAATTCATAAAGTAGGTTTTTTTTTTTTAATTAAAGATGAAAAGAAGGGAAGTCTAGTCAGAAGGAACAGTATGAATAAAAGAAATAGAACTGTTTGAAGACACATTGGGAGACACCCTTTGTATCACTGGATGGCTGGGTGTGAGAGACAACAAAGAACTGCCGTGTTATAGGAGGCAGGATTGGTTTGCTGGATTTTACTCCAGATGAACCAAAATCTCAGAAGTAACTCCAGAGAGAAGTGATATAATAACTGCTTTGGGAAAACTGAATTTAACTCTGGCTTGAGTCTAAGTAAATGCTAAGCAGTAAAAGAAAGCTACCTAAACACACACATAGGAAGAACAAGAGAGCTAGGGCAGACAGAAGAATAGAGACAGAAGGATGAAAGATTATGAGGAAGGGCAGTAGAAGAAAGGGAATGAGAGAGAAGTGGATGGGAAGAAGAGGAGGGAAAGATGGATAATGGAGGGAAGGAGAAAGGCAGATCTATCCATTGTGTCTTCATTTCTGCTAACCAGTGGAGCACTGCTCCTGTACAGACCAGCCAGACTTAGAAGGAAGAGATGGGTTAAATGGTGTCAATGCAGTCTGCCTGAATAACAGAAAAACATTGATTACATAAAGACAAACCAAGTAGATATAAAATCTGAAAGAAACAATAACTGAGATCAAAAGGTATTTCTCAGCCATGAATACACAAACATCAAAAACCAATACATAAAAACCACTTCACAAAGTAACCCATAGTAAAATTTGAATAATTCTAAGTACTAATGAATTCAAAGTATAAGATTTCAACCCTTGAGGACAGAAAATAAATAAGTCCAACATGCTACTGCTGTTAGTCTGAGCTCCTTGTAGACTCTGGAGAAGGTAAGGTTGAATACCATACCAAGTCATGGCCACAAACAAAGATAACTGCTGTTTTACATACCCTAAGGGTAATATGAAAATTTTTCCTTAATACTGTAAAACAAAAGTCTAAACATAAACTGAAAACATCCTGTGTTGGTTCCACAGTTTATTCAGCAACTACACACCCAGTAAAAACTTTGTACAGGGTTGTTGTCCTGAATGTTCAACCGCAGCAATGATAAATTTGATTTTATTCATTGTGCGACATTTTAAATGATGAGAAATGGAGCTAGAGAAGCAGTTCTGCAGTTAAAACCATTTCTTGCTGTTCTAGAGGACCTGAGTCTGAGTCGGAGAACCCAGGCCAGGTGGCTCACAACCATCTGTCAGTCCAGCTCCAGAGAATGCGACACATTTTTCTGGCCTCTGAAGATAAGCAAACACACATAGCACATGCACACACATGCACACATGTGGCACACACATAAGTAAAAACAAATCTTTAAAGTTGCTAGAAGTATTTTGTGATACTTCCGTCTAATCCCCATTACAGAATCTTAAAGCCTGGTAGTTTATTAGAATCCTTCATTCACTGAACGGGACATCCACCAGTGAGCACACACTGAAGCTCTTTGAAGGAAAACAAGTATTGGCAAGAGAAAGAGACTGTAGCTTATAAAAGTGGGGACACAAATGGAACCTTTATTGTTTGACTATTTCACTCAAAGAAGAACCAGGAAGACTTTAAGCAGCCCCATAAGAATTCTTCAGCAATGATTCTCAAGAGTTTCAGGCTATTATAATGATAAACATGATTTAATAACACTGGGAAAATATATCCTGCCTTTGTAAGCTTTATTGCTTATATTTTGGGACTTAAAGCATTAAAAAAAAAGTTAATCTTATATACTATTATGTACTTTGGAAATCAGTATTTTAGAAATGGTACTTTCAACATAAAACACATTTTTTAAAATCTTGACAACTCTCATAATAAAAGCACAATCTCCTTACATGTAAACTAGTTGTAAAAATGAGGAATTAATAAAGTGGTTATCACATCACACACCTTTCCCCAAAATACAGCATCTTGGGCTCCAAATACATACCTCATATTCAACTGTATTGACTGTTAAGGAAGGAACAAGAGAAAACAGTTCACTCAGGGTCTTTAATATAAGCGGTCTCGTGTCACAACTCAGCTTTGGAGAAAGGGCATTCCAAGTGGAGCGGATGCAAACAACCTATGAAACAAATGTAAAAGGTCAATAACTAAGAAAATTCAAACTCATATAAAGTCATTAGAGTATTCCAATCCAGGATGATGGTGTTGGTATGTAACCCCAGCTTCTGTGGAAGTTAAGGCACTAGGATTCCAATTCAAGTTTGTCTGTACTGCAAGACAAATTCAAGGCTAGCCTGGGCAACTTAGCAAGACCCTATCTCAAAACAGAAATTAAAAAAGGAAAAGAAGAAAATAAAGGAATGGTACTGAAGATGTAGCTCAGTGAGAATACTCCTTAGCATGTAGGAGGGAGGGAGGGAGGGAGGGAGGATAGAAAAAATGATTTTATAAGATAGTAACCATAAAAAGAAAGTTTCAAGTCAATTAAAATTGTTGAACATGCAACTTGCCTCACAAAATTGTTTTTTAACTACTTTGTTTCAGTTATCAAACAACCTCCCCTGTAGCAGTTTAAATGGCAAGCATATCCTGCCTCACCCCAAGGCTTGGTACTCAGCTCATGAAGCTCTTGGAAAGGGAAGTCCATAAGTGTTCTATCCATACAAATTAGTTACTCCAAAGTTCACAGCTAAATAGGTCAATAAGAGGTGGCACCTGACAGAGAAAGAGGTCACTTGAGCTGCACTTATGAAAGATGTATCTTGTGCTTCGTGTTTTCCCTTCCCTCCTGGACTCTCTTCTAACTACCCCTCCTCCCGAACTTCCTAGGCTGCCATGAGACGACCAGGCCTTCTCTGCCATGGTGGCTGCCTTTCTAGAGCCCAAAGTTACAGAAACACAATAGTGAGATGGCACTTCTGCAATATGAAGCAAAGCTCCACTTAAAATCCCTTTCTCAGGTATATTGTCACAAATACCAATATCATGTGTGTTATCTTTCTCTCTTTCACCCTCTGTGTGTATATGTGTGTCTGTCTTTCTTTCGTTCTGTCTCTCTCTCTCATTCACACATGCAAGCTGCCAAATACATTAACTCCAGCTTTGCATACACACACACACACACACACACACACACACACACACACTGTTTTATTAACATCCATTGTCAAGAACACACACACAAAGGGTAAAATATTTCATCCAGAAAACTGGGGGGATTAATATAATATATATGAATAAAAAATTCTCAACCAAGTTTGCCTTAGAAAAATGTTAAGGAGATAATAAAATAATTTTATTTTAATGACTTTTTAAGTAATTTCAGATTAAGAGGCTGATAAGCATTAAATCTGAATGCAACCGCAAATGTTACATCACTTGCCCAATTTCCTTAAACCAGTGTTCCTAGTCATTAAGATATCTGATTTTGCAGTCATTCAAATGTCTTCCTTAATGTTAATTTTAGCTCTGACTGATGATTGCTTTCCAATGATTGATATTTTATTAAAAAATTTAAGACACAGGCAAGAAAAGTGAAAACAAAAGACCAATTAGAATTTAACAGGATTAATCCTTCCAAAATGCCAAACTCTTTGGCTATGCTATAATTAATATATACAACTTATCTCTATGTACAATCATAAATTATTTAGGAAAAACTACATGAAGTAGTAGTTACAGACTTGTCTAAAATACGTGAATAATATATGCTTAAAATAAAGATTAAGAAATGACCCAAAATAAAAGAGCAGAAACAATACCTCCCCAAAAACTTGGATTTCTCCTTTCCATGAAACAGCAGAGAAATGAATGTCCTTTGCTTTAGAATCTACTACATGATCTGATTTGAACAAATATTTACCAAAAGTGAGCACTTTAAAAATATAGCTCTAGTATTTCAAATAATTGGTGTTTCAAAAATAATATTAATTTAAAAATGTAATTCATTAGTAGCTACCCTCAAAGCAACATGCATATATCCAAAGCAGTACACTGATGGGGGATTCCTTTATGCTGTGAATATATGCTTCTCTTATTGGTTGATGAATAAATGCTGACTGGCCAGTGGCCAGGCAGGAAGTATAGGCGGGGCTACCAGACTAGGAATTTTGGGAAGAGGAACACAGACAGAGAAAGACACCAGAGATGCCATGTAGCCACTGGGAAGGTAATACACTGGGACATTCTCCAATAAGTCAGGATCACATGGAGATACATGCATTAACAGAAATGGGTTAATAATTAGGAGAGAGCTAGCCAATAAGAAGCTGGAGCCAGGGTCAAACAGTTTATGATTAATACAAGCCTCAGTGTGTTTATTTGGGACTGAAGGGTGGTAGGAGTAGGTAGAACAGAAGTCACTATCCACAGTTACAGAACCAGGAAGAAACACAACATAAAATGCACAACCTGTCTATTGAAGAATTTATCAAGCTGTATTAGAAAGGAAGTGAAACATGCAATTCTAAGTTATTTGGCATGACTAGATCTGTGTTGAACACAAAATAGTTGAAAGAGGAATCAAGAAGGAAAGAAATGTCAGTAGGTGAGAATCCTGCCAATGTGTATCAAGAGATGGTAAGGCTTGAGAAAGAACTTGTAGAAGGAATGGACAGAAGTCATGCAGATGAACCACAAGATAGCAAGTCTATGTTGGCACAAAAAGTATGCATGCTGGGAAGGCTAGTGGGTCACAGAATTCCTAGAACACCAAAGGATTTGGACCAATGTCTTTTAAAAAGGAAAGAGATTTCAAAATTGAGGAACATACAAAATGAAAGAGTTACTCCCTAAGGAAACTTTGATAGCATTACTCTGTGATTCTTCTAAAGGTCACGCTGTAGCACAAGTCAAAGTAACCACCAAACTCTCCTCCTTTTCTCAGGTCTATTTCTAACCACTCCCTGAGACAGAAGGGCTACAGAGCTTCCCGAAATATGACACCCAGTAAACTGATTATCCCTGTTCACCCATAACTTAAATGCCCACTTAATGCCAATCTTTTTTGTTTCAAGTCCTATTTTAAATCCCACTTCCTCAATAAGGTTTTTTCTTAAAATTCAAATCTTCTATTTATCTTCTTTCCCCTTTAACTTCTAACACTTAAATTACTGGGCCTCTCAGTTTAGCATTTAATTATACATTGCCTGGTATTGCTCACTATTTTTGTGTATGGAAACTGTCTCTTCTACTAGATATTAAGGTTGTAAAAGATAGTGACCATGTAGTCTGTTTTTTGCTTTCACTCACCTACTACAGTTGTATATAAAGAATTATCTGTGTTCATCACGTGCTAAAGGCAACATAACACTGGAGGTGTGCGGGTGGATCTCAGGGAAAGAACAAAGAAATAAGAGAACCTGATGACCATTTGGTATTGGATAACCAGTGTGTTCCTCCCTGAGGAAGGCTGGTTTTCCTGCTCTCCAGCATCCTTGGTTGTCTGTAGTTCTTTGTGAAGGGTTGAGGCTTCGTGGGCTTTCCCCCTCCAAGTTAACAGGTCTATTATTGTTGCCCCATTCAGCTCATATTTAAGCAGTCAGGTTAGTGAGACTTTATGGGTGTCTTTTCTCATGTTCTAGGAAACACAATACCACAGCAAATGTCCTGTTCCTTTGGCTCTTAGAAGCTTTCTGTACCCTCTTCCACAATAATCCCTGAGCTTTAGTTCAGGGAATTATTTTATATTTATGTATTTAGGAATACATATGATATACATATACATATATGCATATAACAACAATTAATGAAAAAAGAGACCATGAATTGAGGAGGGGGTATATGGGATGACTTGGAGGGAGGAAAGCAAAAGGTAAATGTTACATTATAATCTCCAAAAAATAAAAGAAATAGTTTAAAAAATTTAAAAGTTTAAAACAGTAAACAAGCAAATCTAAGAATGCCAAACAAGAATAATTAGTTATAATAACCTTCTCTTTCATTCATAAATAAAAAAAATCTTGGGACATGAATTGGAAACTGAGATGCCTGGGACCTAACAACTAGGGTCAAAACCAAAACCAAAGTGAAGAAAAGTGGAAAGCAGACACATTCGTAGGCATTAAGATCTAGGGTGAATTTGTGAAAATGAGATATTTGACATGTGTTTGACTAGGATTAATGAGAAAATGTAAAGAGAACATCCCACAGACAAGAGGGAAGATTTCATTCAGATGTGAAGTTGGTCAGACAATGGCTGTCATTCAAATATTTCTATAAGCCAGTAAACCATGAAAAGGTATGCCTCACACTGCAATAACATGCTGATCAACAGCAGTGCCATCAATTATAGAAGCACAAAAGGGGAGCCAGTCCTCTCCGAGTGTGGAGTAAAAATACACCCTTGAAGCATATTCAGAGCTTTGCATTTTTTTTAAAAAAAAATTTCATCTACTTAAAAAGTTTTAAAAATAATGCCTACAAAGGTACTCTCTCCATGGCCTGTGAGAAAACATTCTAGAATGCCAGCATAAAGCATGGCCTTACATGGAAGCCAGGTATACCCAAACAAGAGGAGGAAAGCTTCTGACAAAGCAGCTTCCTCCAGCCCTCTGACATTCCCAACCTGGGATATTCATGATTGGATAAGAGACAACTAGCCTCAAGACTACTCAGCCTACCTCCATGTTCCATGGATCTCCTTGAACCTTGCAGATAAGGTCCTTTTGACTGGTTAATCGGTCAAGCTGTTTCAGATTAGCCTGGCTTTTGCTGGTGTATTCTGTTTCTGCTGCTCATTAAGCATAACTAATTTGTCTCCAGAAATCAACTTATTTTTGTTTTGTGCTTTGCTTTTGTCTTGAGACAGGAACTTACTATGTAGTATGGGCTGTTCTTGAACTCATGGCAATCCTTCTACCTCAGCTTCCCAAATGCTGAGGTTATGGGCCTGATTCACCATTACTACCCAAACTAACTTCTTCTATTTTCCACAGTATGTAGTTGAGTTCAGAGGGTGAAAAATGTAGGAAGGGGTTACCAGATAACAGAAATAGGTAGGTATACACCTGCATTGTGGCTACATTTATTTTATGGAAGTTGTCAGTTTTGTAACCTAACAACTTCTTTTTAAACATTCATACAGAAATAGGAGATGTGAATTTTAGCCTACTGACAATG